AAAAAAAAAAAAAAAAAAAAAAAAAAAAAAAAAAATTTTAATGGGCAAAAGAGTTGAAAGACACTCACCAAAGAGAATACCACAAAGATGGCAAATGAGCACAGGAAAAGATGTTCAACCTCATTAGTTGTTAGGAAATGCAAATTAAAATTACAATGAGAGATCACTGCACACCTATTAAAATGGCTAATACTGAGAAAAACAAAATTAAAAAATACTGACAATACCAAGTGCTGGTGAGGACACAGAACAACTGTACCCTTCATAGGCTGTGGGTGGGAATGAAAAATGGTCGGGTCAATTTGGAAACAGTTTGGCAGCTTCTTTTTACTTTTTTAAAATATTTATTTATCTACTATTTATTTATTTAGGCTGCAATGGCTCTTAGCTGCATCATGCAGGATCTTTAGTTGTGGGATGTGGACTTCTTTAGTTGCAGCACGCATGCGGGATCTATTTCCTCGACCAGGTATTGAACCCGGGCCCCCTGCATTGGGAACACAGAGTCTTACCCACTGGACCACCAGGGAAGTCCCTGGTTTGGCAGTTTCTAATAAAGTTAAACATACACGTCATATGACCCAGCAATTCCACTCCTAGATATTTACCAAGTTCACACAAAACGCGTATGCAACTGTTTATATCAGCTTTACTCACAGATTGCCAAAGACTGGGAAGCACCCAGACATCCCTCCAGGGATGGTTGGACAGCCCGCTGTGGTCTGTCCACCCGCTCAGGAGGAAGAAAAGGTGAAATTGTGCACAACACAGAGGGATCTTAGAGGCTCGTACCAAGTGCAGGAGCCAGCCCACACGCTGTGGGAGCCACTCCACGACCTTCTCAAGGGCAGACCACAGAGCCGAGGACAGATGGGTGTTCTGCAAGGCAGGGGTGCCATTCCTGCCCCAGGGCCCAGCCAATGGGGCAAGGGGCCGACAGGGGCGAGGGGTTCCAGGCCTGAGGCTGTGAGAAGAGGGGCTCCCACTGGGGCCTGGGTCCCAGCTCTTCCTCAGGAGAAGGAAACTGTCCATCTTGGGAGTGTCACTACCTGTACTGGGTTGAATAGTGTCCCCCGAAATCCATGTCCACACGGAACCTATGAATGGAAACTTTTTTGGAAATAGAGTCTTTGCAGATGTCATCAAGCTGAGGTCACACTGAGTGAGGGTGGCCCCCCATCCAGGACTGTCTTGATAACGATTTGGAGGCAAACAGGGAGAAGCAGAGATTGAGGTGATACTGCCACAAGCCAAGGGACGGCAAGGGTACCAGCAACACCTGAGCTGGAAGGCTCAAGGACAGATCTTCCCCGGGAGCCTTGGCGGGGGCGGGGGGGAGGGCAGCCCTGCTGACACCTTGATTTCGGACCTCTGACCTCCAGGATGGGGAGAGTGTGCATTTCCGTTGTTTTAGGCCATCCCCCACTGCCGCCCCAGTTTGTGATAGTTGTGAGAGCAGCCCTAGGAAACGATGCACCATCAACAGCAACATACCTCCTCCCCCCACGGCCCCCTGTGCTCCCTGTGCTCCGGACGGTGCTCCAGACAGAAGCTCAGGGCCCCCGCAGGTCTGACAACGTGGGCTTTTGCCTCTCAGACACCAGGCCAACAGGACACCATGGCCACTCAGCAGTGGTCTACCTTCTAGATTTTACTTCCAGATGGAGTTCCTCCACCTGAGAGAGAATTTAATATTCTTCACACTTATCAATTTATTTTTCCTGTTAAGATAATAACTTTTAACCTTACATATCAGGGTCAACTAGAGTTTAATATGTGTAGTTACGATTCTACCTCTGTAAACTTTTTTTGCTTTTATTTTTAATCAAACAAAATGCCAGTCACCATAAGATTCAAATTCATGAGTAAACTCAGCTGAGTCACATTTAGGGGAGGGTAATCCATTAATTATTAGCTTCAAGAGGTTGGAATACACAACTCATATAAACAGAGAAACAGCCTGAGTGTCACTTTGGCTGAGGAAACCCCAGGATCAACAGCTTTATGGCACAGTCTCCCAAGAGATGGCCAGCAGCAGGTGGTTTCGGGTGGGAAAGGCCGGCATCCGGAGAACGATTAAGAAGCCAGGCACAGAGTCCCGGGGCCGGAACTGCTGTGATCGGCTGCTGGGCACAGCACAGATGCCAGGACAGGTACCTTCGAAGACTGGGGGCCCTGACGTTTTCCATCTCTTGATTCTAGAAGCATGCCGATCTCTCTCTCTACCCGCCAAGTCTTAGAAAACAAGTCACGCTGTAAGGTCCCATTAACCAAAATCCCAGGTCTGTCGCACTCGAGTCAGAAGTCCCCACAGCAGCCTGAAGGTGACAGGGGCCTGGGTACCAGATTCTAGACTTCGCAACATGTTAAAAAGAGGTTAAGACCTGGAATGCCAAAACCACTTAAGAAAATACAAACCACAGGGCCAAATTCTCAGAAATGTAATTGATTACCATTAAGAAGTCCCCAAAAGGCAAAGCATGCTGTGGCAAAAATAAGACCACCTAAAAAGACAAGTTGTTCATATTAGCAGACTGATGAAATGCTGGAGGCATCTTAAGCCAGAGCGGCGCAGTCAGACCAGGTTCAGGAGCCCCTGGAGGCCCCGCAAACGGGTGGATGGACAGGCAATCTTGGTCCTGGAGGGAAGGAGGGGGAAGGCAACCCAGGTCAAGTGGGGAATTTGGTTGAGGCCTCCGAGGAGGCAAGCCCACTTCTGAAGAAGGTAAACCCTGAAGTTGTCACTGAAGCTATTATCTTATATCAGGACCCCTTTCAATTGTCTTGTTTGTGGATCTGACAAAATCTACATAATGGATATTTTTAGGTCCAAACCCCTCGGGTGCTGCAGCTCTTCTGCTTTTGCTTATACACAATTCACTCTCTGTAGCCAATGAAGCTAAAGAAGCCTGGAAAGTCTGAAACAAAGGTCCAAAACAATCTCTTAATGTGAAGTAAACCCACAGGCTGCAAATGCTTGGTGACACACCAGCCACTTCCCCATGCCTTGCTGCTTCTCTTCACCCCACACAACCAGCCACATCGAACCTGAGCTCCTGGGCCAGCAAGGAGTGAGCAGGTGCGGCTTGGCAGGACCCAGGCAGGACCTCGGGGCTGTGCCTGCCCGGCCGTGCTCACCCTGCAGCCACTCAGGCGTCCTGTGCCAGTGACAGAGGACACAAGGGGTGGTGGGTGGGCCTCTGGCCCCAGTAGCTGAGTCTCTGTCTGGGAGGAACCTGGGCTGGCCGGTTCTGAGTCCCTCCCTGCCTGTCCCCTGACATCAGGTTCGCCTTGGGCTGGGGGCTGCAGGGGTTAGAGGTGAGACTAAAGGGACCGTCACCACCGCAGAAAGGAGACCCCACAGGACACAGGGGAAGTAGGGCTGATTCAAGGGCTTTTAAAGAGAAAATCTGATATAAATGCAATTTTATCATTTTCAAATACATGGAAGTATTTATGACATAATTTAAAAAACCCAACGCATTAAATTTATTGAGTGCTCACAAGTGGTACCGAGGGAGGTGAAGGAGTTACACCAAGAAGAAGTAGGATAAAACACGACTCGACTCTCAGTTCAAACTTGAAAGTGATGACTTTATAAATCGTGTTTTGAATCTTAAAGTGGTTGCCCAGGAAACTGGCAGAGTAGCTTTAAGCTGCCTGCAGCAACTAGAAGGCAGCGGGAGAGTGCGTGAATCTCCTGGTGGAAAGACTGTCAAAGGTAAAGAGAAAGGACAAATAACCTGTCTCACGAGATGATTCTTCTATACTCTCAATAAGTGGGTGTTATTATTTTTATCTCTTAGCAAAAATGAAACTGAGAAAGAAAGATGGGATCTTCCTGCTGGGAAAAGGAAGCTGGAGAAATAGCCAAAAGAGAGTAGTCGGGGAAACAGTGAGTCTCCTGCTGGGAAAAAAACTAGGAGGTGAGAGATTGCAGCCTTTGGTGTCAGTTTGATCCACTTTCCTTTCCCATCACTAATGAAATGAACAAAATGTAGAAACTCGGCAATCAGGGAAGGAAAGGGTATGGACCTGGTGCCGGGAACACCCCAGATGGAGCCCAGGGGAGACCCAGAATTAACAGAAGGCAGAGCCCAGCTGCTGAGGCTTTCTTTCTTTCCTTTCTTTTTTTTCTTTTTTACATCGTGAAGTACCGAGCTGATCTCCCTGTGCTATGCTGCTGCTTCCCACTAGCTAACTACTTTACATTCAGCAGTGTATATACTCGATGCTACTCTCACTTCACCCCAGCTTCCCCCTCCCACCCCATGTCCTCAAGTCCATTCTCTATGTCTACATCTTTATTCCTGCCCTGCAACTAGGTTCATCAGTACCTTTTTTTTAGATCCATATATATATGCATTAGCATACGGTATTTGTTTTTCTCTTTCTGACTTACTTCACTCTGTATGCCAGACTCTAGGTCCATCCATGACGCCTTCTTTCCACTTCTGCCTGGAGCAGGACTTTCGAGGGGAGAGGAGGCGGGACTGGGCACCAACCCACTGGACAGAAGTGAGGCTCTGGGGCCAGCAGGGGCCCGGCAGGACCAGGAGTGTGCACGTCACCCGTGGGAGGGGAGGACAGCTCCCTGGGCAATGGACCACCTGGCAAGGGGTCTGCGCAGCCCACACTCCCCCTCCTGCTCCTCCCGGAGCTCAGGTTACAGGACAGGGTCAGGAACCCAAGGGCCCCTCCCTCCATGAGTAGGCTGAGAGGAAAACAAAAGGTCCAGCTTGGAGAAGCCAGGCCTCACCAGACTCTGTCAGAGCACAGAATACGTGCAGGCGGATCTGCCTGGGTGTGAGCAAGACGCAGGGAAATGCAGCAGCGCCACCTGCAAGCACTGGGCAGACCCACCTGCAAAGGAGAAAGCATGCAGGTGGGAGGCTGTGTGGTCCTTGGGCCGCGACAAGGGTGACAGAGCAATGCTGGGAAAGGGGGTCTCCCACTGCATATCTACTTGGCAAAAAATGTGTCTTGACCCCTCCCGCCATCCCTCATCCCAGCGGGATGGCAGCCACCAACATCAGAGGTAAGACGGTGGAGCCTCAGGGGACAGCCCCACCCTGGGACAGGCAGAGACTTGTTCAACACACCCAGAGTCCCTGCCATGAACACCCATCATTTACTTGGACTGTGTTAAAATGAAGGGCTTCTGTTCTTAGAAATACTATTAATGGGGTGAAAGGCAACACAGACAAGCGTAGATACTCACAATACGTATTTCTGACAAGGGATTCACAGCCAGAATACATTTTTCAAACACTCCTACTGACCAGTAAAATAAACTCAACCTAATGAAAAATGGACAAAGGTGTTCAATCTCATTAGTCATCAGAAAAATGCAAATTCAACTACACTATACTTTCCAGACCAGTAAAATACTGACCAGTAAAATAAATTCAACCTATGAAAAATGGACAAAGGTGTTCAATCTCATTAGTCATCAGAAAAATGCAAATTCAACTACACTATACTTTCCAGAACGGCTAGAATACAAAACAGCAAGAACCAAACGTTGATGTGGATGTGGGCAAACAGAACTCCTGATCTTTGCAGTGAGAGCGTAAACTGAAAACAATTTTGGAGTATCTTCTTAAGTTAAACATATGCATACCATAATACTCGGCCATCCCAGGTTTAGGTCTATTCTGACAGAAACGCATCTTTTATACTCTAAAGACGCACAGTGGGAATGTTCACAGCAGGACGAATCACAACAGCTGGAAACTGGAAACCACAGAAATGCCAACCCCAGCATGATGGGTAAATAAACAGATCGCAGTACGTTCACACCAGGGATATCATAAACCTTCCACAGCCATACACAACCCAGGAGAGTCTCACACAACAGGAGCAAGAGAAGCAGTCACATTACAGCTCTCACTTTTACACAGAATGGACGAGACAAAAGTGGCCCATGTTGTCAGAAGCCAGGCCAGTGGTGACGCTGCAGGGTGTCATGGCTGGGGGAGGGCTGGGGGCCCAGGGGCCTGTTGGTGTTGTGCTTCCTGGGTACTGGTTGCATGGGCGTGTTAGCTTTGTGAAAATTCACTGAGCTATGCAATTATAATAGGTACACTTACCTATATGTAAATCATACCTCCATAAAAAGTTTAAAAAGGAAGGGAAAAGAGATAGAACCTAACTTAAAAGGAAATATGACCCCAGGAGCAGAAGGAAATTCATCCCAGTTACTTCATGCAATGGAACAACCTAATAAAAACATGCTGTTGGTAAAATAAGAGTTCGAAGGAGAGTTTTTGTTTGTTTGTTTTTGCGGTACGCGGGCCTCTCACTGTTGTGGCCTCTCCCGTTGCGAGGAGCACAGGCTTCGGACACGCAGGCTCAGCAGCCATGGCTCACGGGCCCAGCTGCTCCGTGGCATGTGGGATCCTCCCAGACCGGGGCACGAACCCGTGTCCCCTGCATCGGCAGGCGGACTCTCAACCACTGCGCCACCAGGGAAGCCCCAAAGGAGAGTTTTTAATCTAATGAATTTTTAAAGAATTCTTTAAAAATTGAAAAAAAGGAAAATTGTAAAAGTAAGGAAAAATTAGACACCAAAAGGACATCAATACTGAATTAACAAATAAGTTAGAACAGCTAGAAACAGTTTGCTAAAATAAAAATTACCAATAAATAGGAAAGAGTTGAGAGTACCACAGAAATGCAGAGAGAAAGACAAAAAGAACAAGGCACTTAGAAGACATGAATGGAGGACAGATAAAAACAGCCCAACGTAAGAATAATCAGTGTAGTAGGCAGAGTAATGGCCCACCCAAAGAGATCTGTGTCCTAATCCCCAGAATTTGTGGATATGTTAGGTTACATGGAAAAGGGGAATTAAGTTTGCTAGTCAGGGATGAATTGGGAGATTGGGATTGACATATATACACTAATACGTATAAAATAGATAAGTAGTAAGAACCTGCTGTATAAAAAAATAAATAAAATAAAATTCAAAAAAAAAGTTTGCTAGTCAGGTGACCTTAAATTACAGAGATTATCCTGGATCACCCATCGGCCCCAATGTGATCACAAGGGTTCTTAAAAGTGGAGTGGGAGGCAGAGAGTCTACATCAGAATGAGGAGATGGGAGACATCTGCTGGCTCTGAAGGTGGGGGAGGACCCACAAGCCAAGAGACACAGGCGGATTCCAGAAGCTGGAAAAGGCAGGAAAACAGACTCACCCCTAGCACATCCAGAAAGGAACGCAGGCCTGCCGACCTTGATTTTAGCCTATGAGACTGTGTTGACTACCTACCCCCAGAACTGGAAGAGAATAAATTTGTGTTGTTTCCAGACACTAAGTTTGTGGCAATTTGTCCAGCAACCACAGGAAACTAATATAACTGGTGTCCCTGAAATAGAAACACCAATAAATGTAACAGAAGATGTTTTAAGGACATAAAATAAATTTCCCTCAAATTAAAAAAGAAATATGCAAATTGAAAGAGTACTCAGTGTACCAGGAGTTCAAAATGAAGCATTCAGCTCTGAGACATGGTCTGGTTAAGCTCATGAAATGAAGCAAGAAGAAGGAATCCGTCAGAAATTCATGAAGAAAATGCAAATCACCTACATGGGAAAAAAAATCAGCTGACTTCAGGCTTCCCCACATCCAATGGCAGAGGGCTGTGGAGCAATGCTTACAAAGGGTTGAGGGAAAGAAAACAGAAGCTAAGAATATTACACCCAACCAAGATATTGTTCAAAGATAAGAGTCAATGGACAGACACTGTCAGACATGAAAATGCGCAGGTAATACTCACGAGCCCTTCCTGAAAAATGATTGAAAATGAAATTAGCTAATTAGACAGCAAAATAAAAGGACTATCGGTGAGCACAGAGTTCTCTGAAATGTTGAATTAACACTGAGCAACTGTGGGCACTGTAGCTACGATACAGAATTGGGTGTTAGGAACCTGGGCAACGTGAATATAACAGCACAGGCCGAAAACTCAGGCGGCGGGTGGAGGGGGATGGGTCGTGAGACTGAAATGCCCTCACCTTTCCCGCCAGAAGCATGCACATTGTTTCAAAGTGAAACGTATCTTTAAAATAATAATGATGATGATTCCAATTTCTTACAATTTTTCATAATCTCTTTTCTTAATCCAAGAAGAATCTTTCCGTAAATCAAAAACCCACATAGGGCACATCTATCATACCGGGTCTTTTCCGCAGTGTCTCAAGCCAAGCTGATAACAAAACCTTTCGTGGAAAGTGTCTTTTTAGCCTAAATCCTCCCTCTGTGTCAAGGAAAAACCTTGGGAAGAAAGCGCTAACTAGTTGTTAGCAGTCTTGGTTCAGCACATAGAACGAAAGTAATGAAGCAGAAGCACCAAGCCTCTGCTCACACCAGCCAGAAGGACCTCCTTTTATAAACATTTGTCTACATTCCTCCTATTTGCCCCTGCACTGTTCACCTACTACAGAACAGAAAACGTTCCACAGCCTGTTCCCCCAAACATACACAGCGCTTTATTTGCTGAATGTTTTGTTACTCCACCTCTGGCCCATCCATTCACTGAGCCCCAGGCCCAGAGGACACAGCCGTGAAGGAAACAGACACAGCCCCCACCTCCCACCCCGTTGAAACCCAGCGCTGCGCTGTCCAGCAGAACTCTGCCGTCTCACAAGTGGCTGCCCAGCACTTAAAATGTGGCTAATGCACACTTTTAATTGTATTTCATTTTAACTACGCGTGCTTTAAATGTAAAAAGCCACACATGTGGTTAATGGCATCATCTTGGACGACATGGTTCTAGAATCAGAATCTGCATTTTCATAGGACTGGGGAGGAATCTTACTATGCACTGCAGTGTGAGGATGGATCCAGGTTTTCACCATCAGCTCATGCCCCCCATCTCGAACCTTTCCCAACTCAGTTTGTCACCCACTGTCTTCTCAATCCTACCCTGCCTGATCAGGACAGGAAGCACCCCCAGGCTGGCTTGAACATTAAGACTCCAGTCCCTGGGCTGCCCTTTTCGGCTCCCCAGGAACCAGACTGCAAGCCCAGGGGCAGCAGCGTCTGTTGGAAATGTGGCTCCCACCCCTGAGATGACAGCTCAAAGGTTTCCTTCCACAGCCACTCATTCTGCACCATCCAAGCAGCCTGTGGTGGGTAAAGACCTGTGGGACCGCAGGACACCTGGTTGTCCTCCCACCTCCTGGCCCAAGTTCCTGCCCACGCACTCTCCTCTTCGCCCTGCTTCTTTTCCTCTTAATGTCCACTCCCTCTCAAGGGCTGCTGCTCTCAAACTACAAACTTCGGGGACCCCCTGCCGGCTGCCCTCTGGGCGCTCTGGCTCCCCCTCACCCTGGAACCCACTCTCCTGCACTCTCTGTCGGTGCTTCCCTTCCTGCGCCCCAGGTCACGCTCCCTAGGGTCACTTGGGTTCCTTGCCCTCCCAGGCCTGTTTATCAGCGCAAGGAGCCCCTCTACACGTCACCTTGGAGAAGCCTCAAGACTTGTTCTCTGCGCCTTCTCTCCCTCCCCTTCCAACCGACCCACGAGCAGAGCCACCACCTGGGAGCCTGCACCCGCTGCGCTCCGATCCCACGCTCCTGTCCCCTCGCGCCAGCGCCGTACCCTCCACGCGTGCTTTCCAAACTAGTCGCGCACAAGTACGGCCTCCCTGCGGGGCAGCCCGGAGCAGCCCTGCAACCCCCTCTCCCCAAACCCGGGCTGCATGGCGGCACGCTCTCCTCAGCCTAGCCGTCACCCCCAGATCGGGAGGACCCCAGCGCCCTATCCAGCCGCTCGCTCCCGCCGCACGCGCTGCGTGCGCCTGTCCCAGCCCCACCCCCATGAGCTGCCTGGGTCCCCCACGTCCGGGGTTGGGCAGGGGGTGCAGCCTGGGCTGCCCGCGTATTGCGGGCGGGATCCAGGCAGAGCCTGGACAGCCCTGAGCCCGGCGCTCCCTTCCCCGCGTCCGCGTCCCCTCTCTTCCCCGGTCCCCGCGCGTTCCACCGCCTCTCCTCCCCGCGCCTCCGCGACCTCGTTTTCTCTCCCAGGCCCCGCGACCCGCGTTCCCCTGGCCAGCCGAGCGCTCCCCTGGCCCGCCGAGCGCTCCCCTCCGGGACCCCGCGCCTCCCCGGCCTCCCCGGCCTCCCTTGCTCCCGTCTTCGGCTCCGCTCCCCGGGCCCGCGTCCCATCTCCTCCTCAGCCCCCGCGCGCTCCCCCCACTCCTCCACTGTCCTCCCCGGCCTCGCTCCCGGACCTGCGCCCCTCTCCTGCCAGGTCCCCGCGCGCTCCACCCCGACTCCTTCCCGGCCCGGTGCTCACCCGCGGGGTGACCGTACGGGGACTCGGCCGCACCGTCCTGCAGGCTCGCCAGGATCTCGCCCTTGCCCACGTCGCTATCGCCCACCAGCAGGAACTTGAGCAGGAAATCATAGGCGCGAACCGGGCTGCCCCCGGTGCTCATCTTGCCGCACCGGCGCCCGCGCTCATGCCCGGCCCGCGGGACAGCTCAGAGGCGGCGGCAGGGCAGACCAGCGCCGCGCTGGCCCCGCAGTCCTTGGAGGGCTGCTGTCCCCGCGGTCCCTGATGCCTGACAGCTCGCAGCCCCGCTCTGCCCAGCCATTGGCTGACCGCAGTTGCTAGGGCGGCTGAGCGTGCTCACTGGCTGGCTGCCCGTCCATCTCGCTTTCGTCTCCGCCTCCAGGCCTTTCCCCACCCGCCCCTCCCGGGAACTTACGGCCTCTGCCGCCAATGGTAGATGGAAGGCGGGGCCGGGGCGGGGCAGAGGACGGCGATGCTACTGCCACAGCCAATGGAGGTCCGGAGGCGAGGTGGGGCGGAGCCAGGGGAGGGGCGGGGAGGGGCTATCAGGGGCGGGTCGGTGTTCACGCTCCCGAGTGGGCCGACTGGCTGGGTGCTGGGGCTCGCCGCCCACTCACCCGGAGACTACGCTGGTCCGGGTGGGGGCGTCGCAAGGGCCGGTTCCGGTCGCAGACGAGCGGCAGGAGACCCGGTCCAGGTCGCCTGGTGTCGAGGACCCGTGTCCCAGGCGAGCCCAGGCTCGCGGTCTCTCCCACGGGTACTCCCACGGCACCACGCAGAGTGATGGGTGAGTGTGCTTGTGTGAACGCGTGCACGTGTTCGTGTGTGTCTATGTGCGCATCCGCGTGTCTCTGTGTGCGTGTGTGCATGCGTCTGCGCACCTCTTCCTGTGTACGTTTGCAAGTGCTTGTGTGTGCGTCCGTGCAAGTGTCTGCAGGTGCTGGGGTAGAGGACCAGGTGGGGACCCTCCAGCTCCCAGGCTTCTCTCCGGGTCTAGGGAGCAGTGGGCGCCAGGCAGGGGCCTGTCTTCTGCGCTGGGTGTCTGACTAGGTGCGCGATCGTTTACGCGCGGAATCCAGGCAGCTGCACGCGGCGCGCGCCGGCGTGGTGGCGCTCACTGTCCGGAGACGCCACCCTGGGGGCTTCATCGTGAGGCTCGCTGAAGAACTGGCGTCCAGCGGCTAGGAGGCCCGCGGCCCTAGCCTCTCCCATGTCATCCCGCCACCCAACGTTGGAGAGAGTCCTCTGCTCGTGGGCAGGGAACTGCTTTAGGCCCCACTTGGGGGGTGGGGGCAGAGGAGAGATAAAGGAAGAAGAATTACAAAAGCAATTGTTTAAGATTTTTATCGTTGTCATTTGCACTTCTTTGGACCTAAAAACGGGTTTACTTTGGAATGCTAGTTTAGTTTACAACACCTATTGCTTATTGATTGATTAGTTGGTTTATGTACTGGTGAAGCCACTATTAAAAAAAAAAGACTAAGATAAAAGAATGGAAAGTGGACACTGGAAAAATATGCAGGAGGTGGAATTTTGTCCCCAATCCTACCCTTGCAAAAACGAAACCAAAAAGCTCAGAGGAATTTCTTCCCATCTCCAACTCTTGACTCCATGGTCCCAATCAGCTGAGAGCCACTTAACCATTACCTAGTTAAGCAGGATACCTCCTTCTGCTGGACTTCCCAAATAAAAGTAACTACCTAAGAGGATTATATCCACATATGGATTTCCATATTCCTGCCTTAGGATAAAATAAGGCCCACCCAACAGTGCCTGGAGTGTCTCCACCAGAGGTGTTTATTTCACAAGCCAAAAGGAGAAGGGTTCCCACCACAGGAGCTCCCAGCCTCCTGGGGGATGGTTCCATGGTGAGACACTGACCTCTGCCCCCCAAATTTCAATAAAAGTTCAGGCAGAAAGTGGAGGAATATGGCTGCCACTTGCCCATCTGCCAATTCAAGGCCAGGCTTCCAGTCCCATCTACCTCTGACCATTGGAAAATTACTCCCTGTGGCCAGGCTGAAATCTGCTCCCTGAACATCTCCCCTTGTCCTGGGGCTGCTCCAAAGGTCAGGCCAAAGTAAATGCCCACAGCCCTTGCTAGCCCAGGCACTGACTGGGAACAATTCAAGTAAAACAGAAGGGCAGACAGGATCATTTAAAGATGCTTCTCCATGGGCTTCCCTGGTGGTGCAGTGGTTAAGAATCCGCCTGCTAATGCAGGGGACGGGGTTTGAGCCCACGTGCCACAACAACTGAACCTGCACGCTTAGAGCCCGTGCTCCACAACAAGAGAAGCCGCCGCAATGAGAAGCCCGTGCACCGCAAAGAAGAGTAGCCCCCGCTCGCCGCAACTAAAGCCCACGTACAGCAACAAAGACGCAAAGCAGCCCCCCAAAAAAAGAGATGCTTCTCCATGGATAAGATGTAATCAGAAGGTGAAGCAGTATAGACACACTTTGGAGGACAGGGGAGAGGCCATTGTGCTGTTGTTCAAGGAGGCTGGAGGGGCAGCTGGCCCTTTACTGGATCCTTGACTGTCATTTGTGTTTTCTACAACACACCACCCTGGTCAAGGCTCCAGAAATCCTAAAGAATTCATTGAAATCAAACTCCTTACAGTTGGAGATTGGCACAACATTGTAAATCAACCATACGTCAATAAAAAATAAAACTAAATTAAAAAAACCCCACAAAACTCCTACAGTTGGTTTTTGTTAATACAGCACCAGGCCTCCAGCTGCTCTTAAGAAAAACAGTTTTTTGAGGCCATAGTCTTCCTTCTTCAAAAATCAGGAAAAGCCCCCTTCATCAAACACTTGATCTCTTTCAAGTGGAGACAGAACGAACCCTGTAACTACAAGATGTCAAAGATCCACCAGTGGTGTAGTGTGGCCAGAATGGCATCATGGCATGCCATCCCAATTTCATTAGCTGCTTCAAGCTTCTTTCTGTATTTCTAAATAACATGCATTGTTTACCCTGATGCTAAAAGTTATCCTGCTCAGCCTTGAATGTAATACTGTAGTGGAAAACTGGAGACACATGTTCACCATATACTACATGATGGGGGTTATCCCAAAAAGATGTACTGAAGTCCTGTCCCTGTTACCTGTGAATTTGACCTTATTTGGAAATAGGGTCTTTGCAGATATAATCAAGATGACGTCATTAAGGTGGGCCCTAACCCCATATGACCATGAGGGAGTCCATGGACCACACTTGAACATCACTGATCTGAGCCTGCCTGTCTCCCGGCTCTAACCAGTGTAGGTGTGGCCTATCATGTGACTTTAGCAAAGGAACATGAGGGGTGTCTGCTGGGGCCTTCAAAAAAGGGGCACCAGGGAGCAAGTCCCTTCTCAACTTCTGTATGTTTTTTTTTTTTTTTCCTTGAGTTTTTGCATTTTTTCTTAACATCTTTATTGGGGTATAATTGCTTTACAATGGTGTGTTAGTTTCTGCTTTATAACAAAGTGAATCAGTCATACATAAACATATGTTCCCATATGTTCCCATAAGCATCTTGCGTTTCCCTCCCTCCCACCCTCCCTATCCCACCCCTCCAGGCTGTCACAAAGCACCAAGCCAATATCCCTGTGCCATGCGGCTGCTTCCCACTAGCTATCTACCTTACTACGTTTGTTAGTGTGTATATGTCCATGACTCTCTCTCGTCCTGTCACAGCTCACCCTTCCCCCTCCCCATAACCTCAAGTCCGTTCTCTAGGAGGTCTGCGTCTTTATTCTTGCCTTACCCCTAGGTTCTTCATGACATTTTTTTTTCTTAAATTCCATATATATGTGTTAGCATACGGTATTTCTGTATGTTTTTGTCAGGGGTGTGACAGCCGCAGCTTGTGACCACGAGGGCATCATGAAGTCTCACCTGTGGCCCTCCTGCTATGGCCCTCCTCTTGTCATGAGCAGTTTCATGGCCGTAGGCACCTGCAGATGGATGCTCTGTTGCTGGAAGTTAAAATAAGCCTCAGTAATACACACAGTATCTAGTTGTAGCGTTTTCCTTTGGGGCAGGGCATCATTTTTCTTTTTCAGAATTCTTCCAGGGTTAGTGGGTGTCCTCTCTGCCCATCCATGCGACCCCCTCACACTCTGACTCCTTGCATCACCTCACCCTCACCCGACCGTTATCTGCCCCTTACCCTCATCTGATCCTCCCCTGAACTTCACCCAACCCTGACCTGACCTTGGCCTGGCCCTCACCTGACCCCCTCACACCTCCACCCCAACTGCAGTTCCACTGAGCAGGTGACGGTACCACCCACACACCTGACCTCGTCCCTCCTTGAAGAGCTGCGCTCCCTGGCCTGCCCCGCCACCGTGCTCAGGCGGCTGCCTGCAGGCTCAGCTCCGTGCTCGGCTCATCTCTGACGCTTTGCTGGGGACACCAAATAAAGCATTTCCGGAATACGTGATGCCACTTCAACCCTCTGCTTCACGCGCACTTGGCGCCTTCCCAGTAGCTCAGCGCCCACGGTGACACCGCCCCCCAGAAAGCCCTCCTGACCTGCATTGGGGCTGCTCCTGGATATCCTGTTTAATTAAAACGATCCATTGCACACCCGTCATCTCCTCAAGCAGTGCCAACTATCCACAGGACGGGGGAAAGGCCAAGCTTTTTCCAGAGAACTACTCGAGAGTCACCGGTTCTCCTGGAAATGAACTTTGACTCCCTATCCACACTGCCTTGGCATAACAGAAAGGTGAGAGGTTCACTTGCAGTCTTGTTTTCCTGCCTAGCAGCTAAGTTTTCACCGTCCTATAGGGCATTAACCAGCTTGGTATCTAACTCATTGGTCCTGTTTTGGCATTCCTTCTCCCACTGACTGCATAAGGTGGGGTTTTAAATGCTTTTGTGGAATTAACTGTGGAAACCTCAGCCACAGCTGGAGTCTGGGAAGGCCTGTGGGGGAGCTCTCACGCCTGGTACGCTAGCCTGACTCCTAACAGGAAGCACAGCTGCCTCTACTTACTATCCAGCAAGAGGAAGAAATCTCTCCGCCCAGACAGCCCAGCCAATCAGAGGCCTTCACAGACCAACCAATGGGAAACCTTCATACTTTGGACTCCCAGCTCCTCCAATGGACTCTGGTTATCACAGCCCCCTTCCCGCTCCACTCCCCTTCTCCTATAAAAGCGAGTTCCCTTCCTTGTGCTCTGGATTTGCCTCTGGTACACGGTAGCCTCCCTTTTCCGACTTGCAATTTCTCTGCCTATTCCCAAATAAACTGGCTTTTGCTGGTAAAATAACTGGCTATTATTAAAGTTGACACTTTTCAAGCCAGCTTTTGTCTTTCCAGATCCCTCATTAATGAGCTAAATGAAACCTTGTCACGTGTTCACCTCCCATTTATGTGAGAATAATGTTTCTAAGGATTTGAAAATGTGATTATACCTAGGGGAGAAGGCAGGTTCCTGACACAGAGTGAGGCCCGAAGTGCTCAGTGAGTTGGAAACAGCATCTTCCATGTCTCCCCAGCCATTGAGAGCGTGACAGTGGGACCTTTTGGAAGCCAGTTGCCCCAAGCCTGGGTCCCTGGACGCTCTCACCCTGTCCCAGAGTCCCACCCGTGGCGCTTGTCACCCTGCCCTAGACTGCATGTCAGGGTAGAACCTTGTGTCCCCTCCATGCAGAGGGGGCCGCTCTGCATCTCACAAACACTGGGGCTGCATGAGGACTTGGACTTAAGGCAGGTGGTGGGCTCTCTCAGAAGAGGACCCACACCCCTTTGCCCAGCTCTTGCTTGCATGTGGTGTCTCAGTGAGAAGCCTCCCCAGCCAGGCCGGGCTGCTGAGGACGGGAGTGTGTGCGTTGGCTGCAGAAAGGGTGTAGTTGGTCTCATGTCCGTTAGACACCTGAAAGAAGCGGTCCCTTCATCCTGACCGCCCTGGGTCATCACAATCCTGAGATCCAGAGCAGAGGCCAGAGAGGCCGACTGGGACCCAAGGCAGTGAATGCAGGAGGGACCTGCAGCCGGCCCCCCGCCCCCCCATCTCCCCTGTTTTACTCTGAGCACAGAGTCCAAATGAACAGGAGCTGGGGATTACCATGCACCCTTGGCTGCGGTGAGAAGACCCAGCCTCCCACTGGGCACCAGGGAGCAGCGGGGAGCAACATGGGATGCACTGTAGCCCAGCTCCTCCAAGAGGCGGGCCAGCCAGGTGCTCTGCAGAAGGAAAAAAAAGTATGCTGTTTATTGAAAAAGAACATTCTCATCCTGTGCCAAACCCACCACTTCTTCCCCTCTTGACTTACAAAAAATAACCCTACTCAACCCAAAAGCCTGAAAAACATTTTTCAGAGAAAATCTATTTGTCCAGAATGCCAGAGGAAGGAAACAAACAGCTTCTTTTGTGTGAAACTTTACCCTCAACCTTGTGCTTTTAAGTGAATGCTCACACACATTTGTGCTTCCTGACGTTTCAACGAGTCATCTCCAATTTTTGCATTAAAATCTCCACATGACACACAGAGGGATTTAGGAAAATATATTTAGAAATGTCAGAGCCAGAAAGATTGTTTCAAAAACTCAGCAGACCCTAAACTTTAGGAGTATTCAATAGGGGACTTCCCTCATGGTGCAGTGGTTAAGACTCCGCACTCCCAATGCAGGGGGCCAGGGTTCAATCCCTGGTCAGGGAACTAGCTCCCGCATGCCGCAACAAAGATCCCACACACAGCAACAAACATCCTGCGTGCTGCAACTAAGACCGGCACAGCCAAATAAATGAAAATAAACGTTAAAAAAAAAAAACCGAGGGACTTCCCTGGTGGCGCAGTGGTTGAGAGTCCGCCTGCCGATGCAGGGGACACGGGATCGTGCCCCGGTCTGGGAGGATCCCGCATGCCGCGGAGCGGCTGGTTCCGTGAGCCATGGCCGCTGAGCCTGCGCGTCTGGAGCCTGTGCTCCTCAACGGGAGAGGCCACAACAGTGAGAGGCCCGCGTACCGCAAAAAAAAAAAAAAAAAAACCCAAAACAAATTATCAAAAAAATTAAGCAAAACAAAACCAAAAGAAGTATTCAATAGGATATGTCTGGTTTTACAAGTAAACTTGCCTTTTTACGGTACTCAAGACTATGAAATATTTGCAAGAAAAGTTAAACATTTTTAAAGATCTTGGGAATTCCCTGGCAGTCCAGTTGTTAGGACTCCCCGCAGTCACTGCAGAGGGCACGGGATCCATCCCTGGTCCGGGAACTAAGATCCCGCAAGCCGAATGGCATGGTCAAAAAAAAAAAAAGAAAAAATCTTCCCTCTCTTTAAACTCCTTTGTGCAAATGCCTACTTTCTCTTCCATATCATCTCATTTTCCTTCCCAGTTGGATAAAAAGTACCAATATAGGGACTTCCCTGGTGGCACAGTGGTTAAGAATCTGCCTGCCAATGCAGGGGACACTGGTTTGAGCCCTGGTCTGGGAAGATCCCACATTGCCACGGAGCAACTAAGCCCGTGCACCACAACTACTGACCCTGTGCTCTAGAGCCCGTGAGCCACAACTATTGAGCCCACGTGGCACAACTACTGAAGCCTGAGAGCCTAGAGCTCGTGCTCTGCAACAAGAGAAGCCACTGCAATGAGAAGCCCACGCACTGCAAGGAAGAGTAGCCCCTGCTTGCTGCAACTAGAGAAAGCCTGCATGCAGAAATGAAGACCCAATGCAGGCAAAAATAAAATAACTAAATAAACAAATAAATAATTTTTTTAAAAAAGTACCAATATACAGCAGTATTCACTTGGTTTGAGGAGAACTGTGATGTATATGGGCTGTTTTTATTTTATCAGCCACTCTGTGGTCAGCCCCCATTAGAGGATGATGGGGTGGGGCAGAGCTCAAGCCTACAGGGACAGGGGACTTGGGTGAGGTCAGAACACTGACAGCAGCCATGTCCTTTGGGGTTCACACCCACCTCTGTGCTGTACGTTGGCGACATCTGCAGCTACTTGCATTTCATGACTATTGAGACACTTGGGCTCAGTTCCACTGGGGACCTGGGGGGGGTATGGAGGACATTGGGTTTGCCCACCCCAGCACTCCCCACTGCCGTCCCCAGGCAGAGGGTCCTGGATGCTGCCACCCACACGCACAGGGCAACAACTGTGTCTGCCTAGTTTATTTTAACTTTTTGTCTGCATAACCTGCAATTGTCTCTTTGTGTGCGGGTCTCATGATGTTTTCTCCAGGAAGAAGAAAGATTTTTGTCATGCCTTTTTTTCCCTGAAACCACCAGACTCTGTCCAAACGTAGGCTGTCAGGTCCCCAGAGGAGGCCCAATGGGTTGGGATGTGTGAACACTTGTCTGTAGGACTACTACAGATGCGCCCCATACACCCAGGCATTCTGATGAGGCCCAAGGCACATGGTTCCCATGAGAAACACACGGTGTTGGTAACCAGATGCTGGTCAGCAAGTGTTCCTTACCGAAGAGGGCTTCCCATTGTCCAGCAGTCTAAGAAAGCCAAGTTATCCCAAGCTGCACCCCCTCAGTTACAGCCCTCACAGACTTGTTTCCCCTCCACACTTCCAGAGCTAAGCCCCCAGCACATCCTATCAGAGGCCAGCCTGGCCCTGCATACTCACTTTGCCCTGGCAGATTTAACATGGGTTGTGGGCATGTTTCCAAGCCAGTCCAGGGCTGGTGGTGACTCCCTCAACCTCAGAAGTGACTGAGATCCACGTAAACATCTTCCAGGAAACCCAACTCCCGCCCAAGGGCAGATCCCCCAAACACCCCACGGGCACTTCCCCGGCACAAGGAGCAGGTGACAAGATAGTCGTCAGAGTGGAAAGCCGTGGTGCTCTCAGCCAGTTGTGGGTAAATGTATATGACTTGTGCAAGTGCACAAACACATAGGACCATGAGACCCCCAACAGGACCACTTGTGTGCCGAAGTGTATGTCTTCACCAGCTGGAGCTGCCATGACAAAACACCACAGGCTGGGGAGCTTAAACGACAGAAATTTATTTCTTGCCATTAAGGAACTAGAAGTCTGTAATAAAGATGCCGGCTGACTTGGTTCCTGGTGAGAACCCTCTTCCTGGCTTGTAGACAGCTGCCTCTGGCTGTGTCCTCGTACAATGGACAGAGTAGCAAACTCTCAGGTGTCTGTCTTGGAAGGGCACTAATCCCATCAAGAGACCCCAAACTCATGACCTTATCTAACCCTAGTTACCTCCCAAAGACCCCAAATATCTCCAAATACCTTAACTAACCTCCAAATACCTTCACAGTGGGGGGGGGGGGGCGTTAGGGCTTCAACATATGGATTTGGGGGAACACAAACATTCAGTCCACAACAGGTCCCATTGTGGTGAGGGGCCCTGGGCCCACCCAGAGCAGGAACGAGTTTCAGAGTGGGGAGCTCTGCCTACCAGACAGCCTAGACTGGGAGGTGTGTGCCTGCTGTACCTCAGCTGGCCTTTTCCAGGGCCCTCAAATGGTCTTGGGGTCTAGAGCAGGGTGTCTGAACCTAGGCACTCTTGACCCTTGGGTTCAGATTGCCTTTGTGGTGGGACTGTGCTGTGCATTCCCTGATGCTGAGCAGTGACTCCGGGAGAGAGAGGAGGAAGGTCTGCCCATGGCTCTGCATGGGGCAGAGAGGAGGCGCCACAGGTTGGGAGGTCATCAGGACTTGGAAGCGAGGATCCAGAGTGTCCAGGCCTGTGGCCGGTGGACAGTGAGGGAGTCTCAGGGTGTCTGTGATTGGCCCACTTTGAGAAGTGGGGGTGTCATTCCTGCTGACACCAAGGAAACAAGGGCTCAGGGAGACCTTCATGGCCAGAGGTCCTGCCTGTGGCTTCCATTGCTGGAGCTGGTCAGTGTGGCAGCCTAGACCTGGTTTTGTTTTGTTTTCCTTTTTAAAGTGTGCTAAAATATACATAACATGCAATTTACCATTTTATCCATTTTTAAGTGTACAGTTCAGCGGCATTAAGCACATTCACATTGTTATGCAGCCATCATCACCATCCATCTCCAGAATTTTGTCATCTTGTAAAACAGAGACTCTCGGACTTCCCTGGTGGTGCAGTGGTTAAGAATCCGCCTGCCAATACAGGGGACATGGGTTCGAGCCCTGGTCCGGGAAGATCCCGCATGCTGTGGAGCAACTAAGCCCACGCGCCACAACTACTGAGCCTGTGCT